GTGTCGGGCAAACATCTGCCTTGGCCTCTGGCCCAAAGATACAGAAACAAGCTATTAAGTTGAGCGTTGCATAGTAAATAAATAAGGTGGATATGCTGCTAAAGTATCCGTACCACTGACCGACAAGCACGGTAAGTACCTAAGAGAGAAGTCCATCAAGAGTCTAATAATTTGTCTGTCGTCTTCGTGCATTTATTGCAGTTCATCTGAATAAAGTTAAGTCGGGTAGGTAATTGCAAGCCAGACGAACGTCTTTATAGAGCTCACCACAGCAGAGTTGGCTTTCGCGGGGCTTTTTGTCAGCAGCAAATGGTCCCCTGAGCACACCATTAGCCTGGGAGCTCCGTCACTGGCACGAGTCAGCTGATGATCTCAAGCAAATGACATTATTTGTCTCTACTTCAGATTGCCAGCCTGAAAAAAATGGGAATGGTAACAATTAGCAATTTCCTATTGAGCTTAGTGATATCCTTAAATGACAGACAGCGTAGTGTGAAGTCTTTATTATGGGTACGGGCAGGATCATGCCAGTTCAGAGCTTCTCACAGGCTAAGTGCTGATTGCACAAGGGAGACAAGCAATGAGACAAAGATTTGGCCAAGTTTCCTTCAAAGTCTAGCAGCTGTGAGAGTACTTGGACCAAAAATGTCCCCAGAGAAAATGGGAAAAAAAAAAACAATGAATAAGTCAACATGGTGCATGCCGGTTTGCTCCAAACCATCATCTTCTTTCTTCTTGCTTTGATAATTAAAGCCCTTGAGTGGGGAGCACCTTAGAGTCCTTCAGAGGAGCTTTTCTCTCGGAGATGTCTAGGTTTCACACTTAGCAAGCGTTTTCCCTCTCTCCTTTTTGTTAATGTAGAAGCATTTTTATATCTCCTCCTGGGTGAGGAAGGCTGGACGAGGACAGGGAACAGCTCAGACAAGGCATTCCTGCGCTGTTCTCCAGACCGAGATGGTGTGGGTCTGCAGGCGATGCGTCTCATGTTATTACTCCTTCTCTCAGAGGAGATCTGCATGTTTACAGTATTTACTCAGGAAATTACTTGTTTTTTCAGTTGCTAATTAGATTTCAAAGCTGGCAGGACAATTACTTCCGTACTCAAGCTTCTGCAACTTCCATTTGAGGCCACACCACCTCGAGTTGTGCTCATCCGTCCCTATCGTGAGTTGTTTGCTTTCAGGAGGTTTGGAAGGTGGCATGGAAGCTGCATTTTCAGTCGTCTTCTCTTTGGCCAATCTAGCAAAACCATATGAGGGCATCACGCACAGCTGACCTTCCAATTAATAATCTTTGCCCTCACCAGCTGGTGGCAATCAGATCACTTCAGAGGTTTGGAACCCAACAGCAAGCTTGTGTGTGTCCTTCTAGGAAAGAATTGTCCGTGATCTCACCATGAACTTCAACTATTCAAACCAAAACAAAGCAAATAGTTGCCGTGATTCTCTAAATGCAATTCCCATGGCACCATTCATAAAATACCACATGGAATTTTGTATAAATTGGAAAATATCTGTATAATTCGTGTAATAGCTTGCAGAATACGATGTAGAATGGAAACTAGAACCTGGCCATAACTCCAGTGACCTGGTTTTATTTATTGATCAACAGTTTTTCACATCTGCAGCAATGTTGACTATGGCCATGCTTAAAGATAAATGTGTTTTCAGGTAGTTGTTTGATGCCGCTAACTCGGGGGCTCCCTGAAATTTAAGTTTGATTTCTTTATCATCTAAGCCCCTTTAAATAATATTTTCACTAAGCCCTTGCATCTGCAACGGCTGTGCAAATTTGTCCATTTGGTTCTTTTTGCTTGATTTTTTGTGTTCCCCCATCTCAGCTCCCTAGTTTCTTCTTGACAAGCCACCCATAATGTTCTGTTTCATCTGGAGGTTAGGTATGAGAGCCGTGTACATGCACGTGTGCTTGTGTGTGCACGTTTCAGAGGGGCCAGAAAAAGCAAGTCAGCTCTCCAATGCATGCAGTCCGTAACCACTGAAACAAAATTCAGTCTGGGGTTGAAGACAGAGGTTTTTATCGGGTCTTAAGTGAGCGTGATTTACTAATGCGTGCAATGCTCAAAGTAAAAAGAAATTCCGATCTGTGATCGTACCTAAGAATATAAATAGCACCATGCTCAGAAACGCACAGACAACTCTCAGACTTGTTGCTCACAAGCCTTGTTTGTTCTCATTAGCTCTGGAGTTAGTGAGAAAAAGAAAAGCACGTTCATTTTAACGCTTCCTTTATGGAAATAACTTTTTGAGCCGTGTTGTAGCAGCTTTGGGACAGGAATATGCTGCATGCATCCTCATTACTTTTCAGAGTTTATTCTCAGCAGCGAAGAACTTTGGGGAGTGTGCAGAGACCTTAATTGCCCTGAGTCACACCAGGCAAGTTTGTTTCCTTAACTGCTAGAAACTGGTAAGTGGCTCCAGCCACAGGAGAGGGAGAATTTCTTTTCCTCTTCGCTTCATCTTGTCTCTATCAGTCGGGTTATTCCAGGGCAATGCGAGTGAACGCAAAATTAGAGCACATTGGAAATGTTACTTTTAGCTATATTAGAAAAATGTGGAGCATCAGGGAAAGCACAGAAGTAGGAGGAAGGGTTTTTAAAAGCCTCCTCTATCATTAATAGCATCAAGTGGTCAGCAAAATTAAAAGTTACCAGGGTGCTTCAGTGAAGAAGGTACAATGGCTTTATATTCCCTTTGGGTGCCCCACGATGTGTTATGATGCAGTTAGGGCACGCTTAAGAGGAGTAGCCTGGGAAATCAAGGATTGAGGAGACATGACCTGTGCACGTACCATTGCGGTTTTGCAAAATAAAGTGCCAGATGAGCCACCGAATATATATGGATATTTTTTGTAAAGCATTACTGTTGGTCACTGTGGATGGATCTGACCAAATACAGATGCCTACGATGACAATGAATGTCTGAACTAGTCAGAGGAGGAGAGGGAGCACCACAGGAGCGAAGTTCATCAAATGGATTCACCCTAAGGGTCAGGGAAGTTTGGTTACCTAAACATAGACATGCCACGTGGTCATTTGGAGCTTTTAGATCCCATTATACCTCAACAGTACAGTGAGTTAGAGTCATTGGGTTCACCCTACAGTGGACATCTGATCGGCGTACTGAATCTTGTCCTGGTGTAGGCATCACAGGTACATCAGCTGAACCACCCTGTAAATGCAAAATATTATTTCCACTAACAAAAATTATCCTTTAGCTGATGTGGTGCATTGTTAGGCTTTGCAACACCTGCCACGTTTGATGCCATGTTGCTTTTCAGGTGTTTCGTTGAGTTTTTATTCTATTGCATAAATGTTATTTATTATCACCGAGTTCTGAAGCTCGCACGTGTGCAGGCTAACATCAACTTGTCATTTACAGGACAGATTGGTGTTTATACTTGCCATTAAGTGGGAGACACTATACTTGAATATCAGCAAAAACGCACAAGTTTTTAGTTGCTATTTGTTCTCGGAAACGTGGCTGCTGTTTGATTGGGATGAAGACAGCAGATCAATCCCTAAGCATTGACTGCACACTGTGATTGTATTTCCATGCCCCATACAGCGAATATCTGCCTGAGCGAAGTGTTAGAAAACTGACAGCACATCTCGTACCCTCCTTGCTGCATGGAGCTGACTGCTTGGGCGAAGTCTTATGCCAAGACTTAAAACGTAACCGCTTGAAACTGTTTTTATTATTTAAAACTGCTGTTGCCCTTTTTGGGGTGATTAAATTACACCACGTCCTCTAAAATGTCCTTCAGAAACCTGCGGTGTTCAGCGAGCAGCCATTCAGCAACAGGCTCCCTTTCATTGCTGATTAGAAACTAATCTGCACATCTCTGCCGCAGCTGTTTCTCTTCACTTACACCCATAGGAAGTTTACAAATATCGCTGCTATCACCGGGCCTGGTGAAGTATGCCTACGAAAGTGCAGTCATTATTCACATGGCCAAGATTTCCACCCCGCTCCGTGACAGATGTACCACTGGCGTCCCTCCTGTATAACTGAATCCAGTTTTAATCAGATATGCGTCTCCCTCGGAGAAAATGAGAAATAATAGTGTGGAATGAAGCATGGTATTCCATCATCTTCCCGAGCCCCGCTCATATTTACTCAATCTTTGCTCACGGTTTAGTCAAGAAAATAAAACGATTTTCATTCCGCTTTTGAGAAGTAATGTTTACCAAATTGTGTTCTTCTTTTATGAAAGATCAGTTTTAGCCCCACTATTCTGAACTGGCCTCAAAATAAGATAAAAGTGCTAGGAACCGTTTTGCTTACCTGTTAACTTTCCTTGAAAGATGAATAGCCAGTGTTTTTGCCAAAGTCAGGGAATTTAAGATGATAAGTAGAAACAGAAGAAAGTGTGGAGTAGCCCCATTCCTGCTCCACCGAGGTATAATGTTAGCCCCAGCACTTTGGGCTGTTTGTATAATATTGCAGAACAAACCACAAGACACACAGTTAGAAATACCCCATCAGCAGCAGGCAGACAGAAGGAACCAAGTGTCTGTGATCAGTGAATTTCATAGGGAAACGTTTCTATCATAGATCACATCTGTTAGGTGCTAATAAATGCCCCAAGTTCACTTAGCCCAGTCAACAAAATCACCCAAAAAAAAGTGTGTTTTGCTGTGAGAACTGCATGCATTGCTTCTCTCTGATAAATTCAACGAGGGAAAGTGGCCAGAAAAATAAAGAGGAAGACAAGTTTTCAGGTATGGAGTGAGGACAAAGCCTGAGCAGCTGTGATTTCAGTTGTAGGATTTGCAGTCACTCCACGCTGACGTGTTAAGGTTGAGCCATCCGTTGCTGTAAATGGATGAGCTCCCATTAGTGGAGCTCGAGACTGATGCTTTTAGTCCCAAGTGCAGTGATTGCTTTGAGGTTTCAGCTGTCCTGGCACCCAAAACCCTCCCAGATTAAGGGGTGTTTTCTTGCTGAAAGAAATAATCTTAAATCTCTTCTCTTTTCTAGAATCCGTGGATAATTGCCCCAGTAATTGCTACGGGAATGGAGACTGCGTGTCTGGGACCTGCCATTGCTTCCTTGGCTTTCTGGGCCCTGACTGTGGCAGAGGTAGGAATTTATACCTGGTTAACTCTTCCCTCCTCCCCTTCTGTTAACGCTTTTCTTTGTGGAAGTCGTATTTGTGCCCATGCCCCCTGCAAAGCCAACCTCATCCAGCCTGGGGACGCTGCAGAAGGATGGGAACAGGTCAGATCTGCAGGTTTGGTTGCTATTTGTCATGATTGCTGTGCTCGTAGCATCAACACAACCCCCTAGCTGTGCGTGGACAGGCAAAACATCACACTGGGGCTTTTCATTCTGGAAGCAACTTTAGAAAACATGACTTCAAAATGTGGCTTTGCTGTTTGTTTAGCAGACCCTTCCATCACTGTGTGGCAATATTTTATTTTAAGACACTGGTTAGAGAAAATGTAAGTACCTGTTCCGTTGCTGCAAGGCTTGCAAGTCTCCCTCAGACTGATGGCCAACACCCAACAGGGCTGCAGTGGAGCAATGCCAGGCAGAGCTGGATGCTCTGGCCCTAAGTGGAAATCTTGGGATGCCTGCTTTTGGTGTGCTGCCTACCTCAGCAAACAATAGCATACATTTTTTTTCTGCTCAAGAGAAAAGCATTTTTTAATAAACTGCTTGGGAAGGATTTTCATTTGACCTGAAATTTTTAGGTTAGTTAAACATTAAAAAAAAAAAAAAAAAAAGAAGTCGTTTTAGTAAGAACATGTTTCAGGCAGAGAAATCAAACCGTTGCATGTGGAAAACGCCGGAATGCCGTGTTTCAATCTTTTCAGTGTCTTTTTTTTGGCTGAAACTGCTCAACAAAGTGCAGATTTATAAATTGGGGCTGGGGGGAGGGAGGTAACGCATGAAGTCAGTGCCCACACAAGGAGCTTTGCGAAGGCAGAAGGTCAGGCCTTCACCCCAGCCCGCTGCTGTGTCTGGGAAGCAGGCTGGGCTCCTTCCCAAGGGAGGGAGCCAAACTCTGTCCAACCCCACGTCCTCTCCCCCCTCCAGCCAAGCCCTGATGAGTGTGCACCAGGCTTTGGGTCCCATCCCGCAGCCCAGCCAAGAGATAAGGCCGGCCTCATCCCCACACGGTGTGGTCCAGGCTGAACCCCGGAGGTGTCTCAGGGTTCACAACCCCACTAAGATGAATGGGGCCGGCTGCGGCCCCGAGAGCTGCCGTGTCAGGCTTGTTGCTGACTCAGGTTACGCTTGGCGTGAGTTTCCGAGCTCCTTTTCAAATCCATCGAGCCGGAGACAGAAGGAGTTTTTCCGTCTCCCACACCTCCTGACTTGAGCCAGGGGCAGAAGTTCAGGGCTCGTTCCCCCATGGCTCGCTGCGGAGCCAGGGCAGAAGGCAAAGCTCCTCCATCATCAGGCAAAACATTAAAATTTTTGGTCTGAAGGCTCTTGCAGGGGAGCTCGTCTCCCTTCACGGGTTACGCAGCGAGTTTTTCTCAGGCTCTCAGGCGAGCCACACGAGCATCTCCCATTTCACAAGGCTGCTTACCCTGGCTGATACGAACACCTCTCACCGGAGTCAGCCTTTCGGTTCCAAATCATCTGGGTTCAGATCACAGATTACTGTCTGCCTTTATGGAGACGGATTAATTCATGGAGTGTCCAAGCGCTGTTTGTGCGTGCGCTTCCACCCAGCGGGCTTGTTAAGTGAGCACTTGCCACGGGTGTGAGGTACAAGGGCCCCAGTGTTGGCTTCCTCTTGGTTTTCGAGGGAATCTCAGATGCTGCTTTTGACCTACAAACACCTCCGAGGGCAGTAACTGCAGCATGTGCACAGCCACAACAGGATCTGTCTGCAGCCCTGCAGGGGTTGCTGTATGGAGCAGTAATTCTCAAGCAGGTCTCTGCCTGCCCCAGGATTTGTAGGTCCCACATCTCCTGGGTGTTCCTTTGTTTCACCTTGTTATTCACCCCCTAAATGAGTGGGAGACTGTAAAACACAACCTTTCAGTTTTTAATGATGGCTAATTATTAATGCGTTATTAACCTCTTATTTTAAATCACATAAATGTGAACAAATCCGCAGCAATGTGCTCACGGGCCTTTTGAAGACCTTGAACACGGAGAAGGTGTTTTTCATGTCTACAAAGTAAAACAAACAAACAAATAAATGAATAATTTTCCTCCACGATACCAAAGTTTACAAGAAAAGTGGTGTGCATTTGGGCTGTGGCTACCATCATCAGACCAGAGAATTACTATAATTTGGGCATCTTAGATGGCATTTGTTGGAACGGAATCCGAATGATCAAATTAATTACATATCATTACATGGAGAAAAGAGTTGCACGAGGAGCAGTGGAAAAAAAAAATAAATCCAGAAACCTCTTTTGTCTTTGTTTATTATGGTATGCTGCAAAGGAGGTCTTGCCTTGACATTTGCAACAGCACTTCCCAGGTTATGCTGGAGGTGTTCTCCACGGAGGGCTCTGTGGAATGCCAGTCTTATTGCAGACGACCAGCAATTTATCTGATCTTGTACTGAGTGATCAGCTGTCCTGTCAGAAAATATGTAAGTCTTTTTCAGCAGCCTCTCACTGGTTAAAGGCAATTCCTCTCCTTGTCGAAAAAAAAAAGAAAAAAAAAAGCTGCAAACTGTCCTCTCCTGGTGCCTTGAAAGAACAGGCTCCTCTACTGAGCATTTGAAATTTGAGACAGGGGGGTGGAAAATTCCATCAGCCTAGATGAAAAGTGGAATTACTGAGTGAGTTTGCTGTGAACCATATATTCAACACAGTGTACCTTAAACAATTTATGTGTTATACTGTATAGGTAGCTCTCTCCTTGCAAATGATGCTCTCGAACCACACCACTGCAATATGATTTCTTTAAGCTGAACAGGGAGCTCCTTCGTAATAACAGCTGCCAAATTCCTTTTTCTTCTGAACTTCTTTTATTTCAATCAGGCAAATATCGTTCATTGCACGTCAGGACAGTTTAACAGTCAGAGCTGGTAATGCTTTGTGTTGAGGGTGCTGTAAGCCTCAGACTCATCTGTAACAATAACTGAAAACAAGACAGAATGGGCATTGTGCGGTTACTGCATTAAAAGGTGGTAAGAAAAAGAGAGAAATGTTTCCCTTAACCACGTTAATAGCTCTTTCTGCGTGTGCTCAGAGACAGGAACAAAGCAGAAGAGGTGCATTGTATTAATTGCATGCCTAGCGCAGGTGAATTAAGCAGCAGACTAGAATAGTCCTTTCACATTTATCCTGCATAAAAATGTTCATTAATTGCCTTTGTGAGGGGCAGATGAGAAGCCCAGCTGCTCTCTCCTAAGGATGATGCTCAACAGTGAAAGAGAGAGAAATGTGAGCTGGGTATCTGTTCTTGCAGGTGAGTTTCACTGAATGTAACTGAAGAGAACAGGACTTAAGCAAGAAGAAAATTCAAGGGATAGGGAACAGGAAGGTATTGCTTTTGAGGGACAGAAATCAGCAGCTTCCTGGGAAAAATCAGAAGAGAGGACAAAAGGAGCCGAAGATGGCGGCTGTGGAGAATGGAAAAGGGAGAAAACATCTTCAGAGAGGGGCTGAAGGAAGCTTAGAGAACAGCAGCTGGCTCCTTCTCCTTCTGTGGGGAGCCTGCTCTGTATTTTTCATCCTACTCTGCCTGGCATTTTCCAGAGCTAGCTCAGAAAATGCTTACTTCTGGGGTCCGCCAGCTTGATTTTGTTGTCTTCCTCTTCTCCCCTTCATCACAGGATAGAAGAGGCCCCGGGCCCAGCCTGGAGCCCAGGAGGTGCCCTCTGCCCCTCAGGAAGCTCTGCTGGGCTGGGCGGGTGCCGGAGCCCTGGCACAGGCTGCCCAGAGAGGGGCTGGGGGCTCCTCCTTGGGGATCTCCAGCAGCCGCCTGGACGTGGGGCTGGGCCCCCTGCTCGGGGTGGCCCTGCTGGAGCAGGGCTGGCACCACAGGGACCCGCAGCTGCCCGACACCACCAGACACTCAGCGGTCCTGAGCTGGTTTTCTTCAAAAACAGCCAACTTTGTTGGAAACAAAGAGAATTAAAAAATCTTTTATAAACCAGTATAAAGATCAGGGGATATAATCGGAGAACTTTTGTTACCGGGCGCTTGGGAAGACTAGAGGCCATTTTTGCGTTGTGTCTGCTGATGAATGGAGACCAGCAGAGGTCAGAGGAGGGGGCTGGAGATCCAGCTGATGGTATGACTTGAACTAAATCAGGGAGAGTATCGACGTGGCGTTCTGGACTCTGAGCAAAGAAACTGAAAACCATACAGCTGAGAATTACAACAGCAAAACAGGGGAGTGATTTGTGTACAGCTAAGGTCCGCAGCAGGGGCTGTGTCAAGGAAAGTCTGAAGCCTGGCAGCAGGTCAGGGATAGAGATAAGCAATTTAAGGTCAGTGGTGCTGCTGAAAGAAGACACCAGTGCACTGGAAAGTCAGAATACAAGAAAGGTCTGAGTTTAGTTAGTGAAATAAAGTATCGGAGACACAAAGCAGAGATGTCCGAACTCAAGAGCGCTGTTTGTTTGTTTTAAACATCCATCGGAGAATACGCTTAACAGCTGGGTGTCATGCCCATAAAAGAATTGGTTTTGGCAAGGAAAAGAACAACATACCCCACTGAAAAGTGTATAAGAAGATTATAAATCCCGTGCTGGACTCTTACGCTCTTTTATGAAGTGAGAGTTGTGTACGGTTGGTTTTTAATGTGATTTCCATTGTCTTTCCCCAGCGTCCTGCCCCGTGCTGTGCAGTGGAAATGGGCAGTACATGAAAGGGAGGTGCTTGTGCCACAGCGGCTGGAAAGGAGCAGAATGTGATGTCCCCACGAACCAGTGCATCGACGTCACCTGCAACAACCACGGCACGTGCATCATGGGGACCTGCATCTGCAACCCGGGATACAAGGGCGAGAGCTGCGAGGAAGGTATTTGCAAGATCCATTCAATTAGCCTCTTGCTTTGATTGTCGTTATATAATTACATGGATGGAGGCGATTGGGAACGGGACTGGCACTTAAGCAGAACAGTAATAGGCACCTTAGAGATACAATGGATGGATGCAACATAAAAATGATATGTTGTAATAACTTGTCGTTAGCTATCATATTTGTTCAATAATTGGATGAAAAGCCATCAAATGCTTCAGATAGACAAATCTAGTTGAAAGACCAGAACATCTAATCATATGTTCAAATGTTCTTATTAAAGCATCGTTTCCATTTACACATCCAAACGTATAATTACTTTTATAGTGCTTTCTTCTGTGCTGTGCTATGCCAAGTATTTCAGTTGCTTACATATACAAAATGGTGGCGTATGAAAGTCCCTGATTCTTGTCAGCTTTAAAAGCTTAGAAATGCTCAGGACTTGAATTAAATTCTGCTCAAAATCAGATATTATTTTAATGGCCCCTTCCATAAATTCTTTTTTTTTTTTTTTTTTTTTCACATTAGCCCCCAAACATTTTTTCATTTACATTTAGATTTGTGACTCAGAAATGCGGTGCCTTTTAGCTGTTATCTTTAATCTTTTTGTGCGGGAAGTCACCTGTCACCATAAACCTTTATCTTCCCTAGTCTGCGACTGCTTCTTATTGCTAAAAGGAAAAGTGGACAGTTTTGTAAGCGTACGAGTCATTTGGACAGATAGAAAAATACATCAAAAGTGCCTGATTTACAGAATACTGTTCATCACTTTTGAAAATTATTGTCAGAATTCTATGCAGAGGACCTGAAAAATAATTATGGCTAAATTATGCTTCTACAAGTGCAGATACAAGGCCTCTGCACCACGTGCTAGACTTAAGACAGCGATTTGATACACGTACCAGATTCACTATGTCTTGAATTAATTTATGGTTGTCTTCGTGCATATGGGATAAAGATTTATCTGAAATGGCTTTTATTTTATGGACAGTGGAAATAGGCTGAAATGACATTTAAATGGCATCTAATCCAGCAATTCTTTTGATGCATCAAAAGAGTGGGACATCTCTGACGTAACGTGGCTTCAGTGTCTGTAGTGCTGGAGATGAAGAACATAGCTCTGTAACTGAAACATCTCTTGAGAAAGCTTTATTTTGACTTAAGAAGGCACAGTTAAGTGAAGCCATGGGGCACATAAACCCCAAGATGATGATGACAGAAGTATCTCTAAAGCATCTCTGTAGACCTCGTATTTACTGAGTATCTTTACTGAATAAACAGAAATGAAAAGATCCTGATTTTGCCTCCAGCTAGGTGTGTTTAGTGTGTGTAAATCAGAGAAAGATTTGCCTTTTTCTAGCAGGAGCCTCTTTTCCCTGGTCACATTTAAAGCAGAAAAGCCAGGCTCCACTCAGTTGTTTTATGCTCACTGTAGCAGGGGACAGGGTCAATCCCACTAGGTAAAAGCTTGAAAAAGAATGAAGAGCAAAGAGAACCTGATTTTCCTTACGAGCTGTTTAGGATTTTTACAGCTGTGCATTTGTTTTTCATATTCAAGGCATAATTTGTGTTGTGTTGTGAATAGGGGAGGTAAGTCAGAAATATGCCACATGGGAAAACTTCAGGACATGTATATATTTATGCATTTATATCTTTAAATCTAGCCAAAAAAAAAATAAAATTCATTTATACTAGTTTTTAAATTGTTTTTACTTTTCAATTTCTCTTCTAAGAAGGACCATCTGGTATTGATTACTTTTTATTATTTCTCAGTTCTTGTAGCTTCACTGCTTACTCAGTGTTTACAATGGGTTTTCATTCCAGTGTTTCTTCTGTCTTTTCTTTTCCCCCATAGAAGCTCAGCAATGTTTATAAAACACCGGCCACCAATCTTACATGAGTTTTCCTTTTCTCCTTCCTTCGTTTATTGGGACATATTTTACAAGGCACGGGCTAAGCCAGTGAGACATTAAAGGGAAGGGAGCAAATTTAAGCAGTGAAAAATGAGAAGTTACTTTTTGGGTACTGAATAAGCCTAATAACTCGTGTGAGCAATGAAGCATGAAGCATATTGGGGGAAAGTGTAGAAGAGGCACTAGTTGCTTGCTGCCTGATTTATCTCCCTGGCAAAGGTTCTGCACAAGGTTGAACTATAAATGGGGCATTTTCGAACCAGGAATTAGACCATTTGGGACATTTTCCAAGCAGCAACACAGATATATGTAAAAATCTCTTTTTTTTTCATTTTCTAAGCATGCTAGATTTTTGTCAGCTCTGCCCTCCTGCCCCACTCCCCATCCCTGCTTCTCTTGGCAGCTTCTCTCCTGAGCAGCTAAATTTGTCAAGCAGAACTCCCTAAAAACACACCATTGTACTCCAAATCCACGAAGCAATTGATTAAGAAGAAAGCAGAAGCCCCTAATCCCGTCCCAGGGCCCATGCGATGGTGCAGAAAGCCTAAAGAGATACAGCTAGCGAGGCTGAGATTAAAGTAGCCATTGTGTGTGACATTTTCTGAAAGGGCTCATTTCAACATGAAAAATGGCCTTGGGATTATGATAAATGGGGGGTTCTGACACGCACATTCCCCTCCTATAATCGTCTGTGTTCGGGCTGAGATAGCAGATTGTCTGCCTCCTGTGATGGAGCCCCCTGTAAAACTCACCTTTTTCCCAGCTGACCTTCAGAGGGGATGATTAATTGCCTGGAGGTAGCCTCGTGTCAGTTAGCCTGTGATCTTTGTTCTCCACGTTCAAACCATCTGCTGAGAACCTCCGCGGCTGCTAGTCTGTTCCTCGGTCCTTTTCCTACTTATTACTGCTGAGAAAGAACAGGGCCAGGGCTCCAAGGGTCTCCTGCTAAAATTGGCACCTAGCTCCCAGCTCACTAACAGCGAAGGAGATTTATAGACTCATCCTTTCCAGCCTCTTACAATTTTCAAGGATTGTTCCAGCTACGAGCAGGGCTCCAGGAATCAAAGAAAACTGCAAACGCTCTCGCATGCCTTGGGATAGTAATTGCTGAGCCATTACTTGTCAGAGCGAGAAGGTTTTGAGGATCCAGGGAATTATCGGAGCAGCTGTTGTGTTTCTTTTTAAGGTTTCTGGATCTTAAACAGGTCATTGGGATTCTTATTAGCTCTTGCAGGGGAAAAAACGAACCGCAAATCTGCTCTGTGTGTGTGGTGGCTGTGTTCTGCTCTTCTGTATTAGGGCGAGGAGCTGGACAGCTTTCCCCTGGCTGCTGAGCCAGACTGACACTTGTCACTGATCCCCAGGGCACTGCCACACACCATTTCCAGAGACGGGAAGAATTTCTCTAGGCTGTCCTATATCCTCTTATATATAAATAGCTGATCAGCTCCTGCGGTTCTTTTTTAGGAGGGTGTCTGGGGCGTTGCATGTTTTGCTCTTGCTGGGTGAAATTCTGCTGTGGGTAGAGGAGGTGATGGGTGCCTACAAAACCCCACAGCTCAGAAATCACACGTCAGGGTGCTCAGTCCTTCAGTGCACATTTTTGTGCCATGCACCCAACTGGATGGTCTCCAACATTGTTTCAAAAGTGCCTCCTCTTTAAAAACAGAAGCCCTTTAAAAGAGAATTCACGGATCAAAAATAAAAACCACGATAATACCAATATCCGATAAATCATAATTTGGTTTTAATCCTTACTTCAAAAAAAAAAAAAGTATAAAGAGTATACGTTTAACATGGAATTCATGTGTCTGTGAAACCTGCATAGATTTCAGCACATTCTTCAATTTAAGCATGTGTTTCGCTGAATCAGGACATAAACTTCTGCTGAGTCTTTATGTAGAATTTCTCTCTCAGAAAACCAGAGCTCAGCTTTGATTTCATTAGTAAAGGTAATTTCGCTTATTCTAATAGAATAAATGGAGACGCAGTATGTGTACAAGACGACATTATTCTTATCCTAATCTTAATTGATATTAGCCTGTTCTTACAAGAAAGGTCATTTATTACTGTAGGCCTGACGAAAAGAATGAATTACATCATGTATTTTTTCTCTGTTTTTCACGTGCTTTAGGTCTCACTCCATTTTGGGGACAGCATCTTCTTGAAGCATCAGTTTTGTGTACATCAGGGCTTTGCTTTATGGACGGAGCCTTGAGATACTGTATAAATAAGGCTGTGCAGATGGCAATACAACAGCTTTTATTTTATTTTTTTTTCCTGAAATTCTTATTTACTTCCCTTGTCTCCTTCCTCTTCCTTCTTGCTGTAGTGGATTGCATGGATCCTACCTGCTCGGGACGAGGCGTGTGTGTGCGCGGAGAATGCCACTGTTCAGTCGGCTGGGGAGGAACAAACTGTGAGACCCCACGAGCCACTTGTCTGGACCAATGCTCTGGCCATGGGACCTTCCTCCCCGACACTGGGCTCTGCAGCTGCGATCCCAACTGGACCGGACACGATTGCTCAATCGGTAACGTCAGCGGTGACTTTCTGTTTCTTTTTTTGGTTTATTTAGACTTTGTAAAATATTCAGACTTCGATCTGCAAAACTAGCGCTACAAATGCGTTCCAGTAAAGCACATGTAGGGCATGACTGGAAGCAGAAATGCCATAGCTCACCTACATAAATAATTCTGCTTCTATAGCCAAACATAGAGCAATATAATAAATAACCCCATTAAGGCCACCTAGGCTTGCTATTGTTCATTATATAGCTATGAGTGTAATTGATGGTCTACATATAACTGCTTGTTCTGGTGTTAGTTCTTGATGAATCCCAGTAGCCACCGAAGGGACTGTTTTGATTTTTAGGAGAAGGCTAAATATTCTTTGTGCGGTGTCAAGAGTTGGACTTGATGATCCTTAAGGGTCCCTTCCAACTCAGGATATTCTATGATTCTATGATTCTATGATTCTTTAGGTTGCTGTAAACACGAAAAAAGAGGTGACAGTTCTTCAGGTCTCATTTCCCTTCAGAGTTTAAATGCTGTGATTTTCTAGGCTCAGCTAGAGGAAGATGAGTGGCACACAAGGTTCGTACTAAAAACTGTAAGCACAGTCCCATATCAAGTGAAAAATAACTGCATAGAATTGCTGAATACTACAAGCACCTACCAAGAAGACAGGTTTTTATGGGCATTTTTGGGTAAAGTCCAGAACTTTAATCTTCCTTCATTCCTTAGCTAAATGGATATGTCACTCAAAATCTGCATCAGGTATCTGAAATGGAGGCTAAAGAAAAACTGTTCAGGAGCCTTTTCTTCCAAGTGCAGTTAGCTTTTAGATGCCACACTGAGAAATGCTATAATACATTAAATAGTCAGAGCCTATGGGACATTAGTCTTTTGGCTTTTGTTCTGTATACGGTGCTCACAAATAAGAGGCCACAGCAAAAACAGCTTCTTTACCTTAAATAGCTGGGATGGAACTAGGCCAAAAATCCGGGGCAGCTCTGTATAGGCAATGAAATGGAATGAATTTTCAGCAAAGTGACAAAAAAAGACTATTATGAAACTGGATGCAGTAGAAAAAATGCACAAACAACATTTTCACTGAGGAATTACTATAATGTATAAGAAAAAACAGGTTAACTGCTTACAAGTATTTTACCATCACTTACAAGCGAGCAACTTGCAAGGATGGGGCAAACTGAATAAGCTCTTACAAAGGGTAGGAAAAGAAATGCTTTTGTACAATAATCATTCAGGTTAGATGTTAGGAAGCTTGTCATATGGTAAAATTAACTGGGCTGAACAATACAGCAAATAAGGAGGCCTCCTTGCCTGGGGCTAACACTAGGCTGATCAAAACTTTGCCAGATGTAGAGAAGGAAGCTATCACACATTGATAGGAGGATAAATTTGGTGTCAGACTTTTTCTTTTCCCCACACTAATGTCTTCGATTCCATACTTAGTGAGTTCATTTATAAGACCATGGAAAGGGGGAAGGTGGTAGTGTATTTCTAGCGATTTTGTAGCATGGTTCATAATTGAGTCATTATTCTGAGTTTATGTGGAGGTTTGGGGATTGCAGGGATGGATTTAGAAAACTGCTCATTTCTACACGCAAACAGAATTCACTTTCCCTTTGTTAACCTGCAGGGTCGTGTACAGATGATTTATAAGCTTTCCTTATACTGCTTTTATAAATCCATCTAGTGCAAACTTTCTTTGGCAGTGTGAGGTTATTTGAGACAAACTTGAGCATCATGCCAAGACCTTTTTCCTCACCAAGCTGCTTGTAACATTCAGGTTATTGTGCCTCACAGCTAAAATCACAGCTAAGGTGATTTGTAAACTTCCATTTCTAACCCGGACCTTTCCGCTGAATTGATGACTTGATTTGAAAGACAGATTTACTCACAGGATGTGTGGTACTCTTCTTGCATGATTAAAATAAGAGTGAGCAAGCATGTTAGTACGCGTAGCAACACTCTGCCCAGTGGGGGCTGTAGGTGGTTCTCTAGAAGAGACTAAAGGCGCCAGATTTTTATTGTCCTCTAAAATAGGAACGAATAGTACAGAGAAATTATTAAGTGAAATACGTAAGTACTTGCATAAATCATCATCAGCTCAGCAAAGCAGTTAGGACTATGTTAAGTGCCAGTGAAGAAGTAATGATGTGCCTGTTTTGGTTTGTTTTATTTTTTTTTTTTAGCCTTCTGTGTGTACCCAATGCCAGTATAGCCTTAGTAACACAGATTTTTCACTCTGGAAATACTTCTCTTAAACACGCTTCACTCTTTCATACAAGGGACAGCTTCTCAGTGTCCCTTTCCCCTCAGTATGCAGTTCTTTTTTGGTATATTTCCTGCTATAAAGTGAGTCTTTTAATGAGAGGTGGAGAGATGATTCCAATGATGACCTGTATGCAGAAGAAGAAAAGTGTATTTTGAGTTCCCCCTGGAGAGGATGAAATCTCTTGCCTGTTGCATCCTACTACTCCCATAAAAGCAAATACAAAAAGGTCCCAGTTCAGCTAAAAAGTCCAAGGCAATGCTTAGCACAAGAAGGGTAATTAAGGAACCACTCATTCTAACCCCTTTTCTCCAGAGTCTACCATTACAGATCCTCTATATCCCCTGCTTTTGCCATGCTATCTCCCTTCACCTCTTAATGAGCCCTAGCAAAGGACTTCATTCCCCAAGCATGGCAGCTAATGAAGCCATTATAAGGCAGCTCTCTTAACCTCTTATTGTCTGAGTGTAGCAGGAAGAAGGAAATGGGCTGTGCTGTAGCATGAAACACAACTTAATAGGTGATAAGAGTGAGTCTCACTCTTGACCTATTTAAACTGGACCAAATGCTTCTGGCTAATCAAGAGGCAACAAAACACATACCATAAGATGTATTTGCTGAGTGCAGTGAAATGAACAGGTGAGTCAGGTTCTCTGTATTTGGGGAATGCAGTGCATCCCAGAGGGATAACACAGATGCATCCGTACTATCTCAGGCTCTTCAAAATAGTGCTATGTTTGGACCCAAAATCATTCTTAAAAGAGTTATCTGATGTCCTTCACTTTCCTCAAATTTAAAGCAATGATTTTCACTGTCCTTTCTTTGACAGTTGTCATCTTGGCATGCACAATACCCACTAGAATCATCTGAAAATTGATAATACAAAGTATATTACATCCCAATATAATAAGGATACAGATTTTTTTCTGGGCAGTTGACAATGGTTGTACATTGACCTGCATACAGATAAAGATTTCTTCTCAGTCGCTCATTCGTAGTGACTCACTTCATGCACAGTTGACACCCAGTGCAAACCTTTAAAACTAGACTGGAGAAGAGAAGTAGGAATATTACTTGGTCCTGAATTGTCAGGATAGACACAAAATCATAGGCTGTACATTTAATGATGAGAGTTAGCAACTGGAACTAGGATTTTACTGGGACTCCTATAGAAGCTATGAGTTATGATGTTTTACTTCACATTTTGAAAAGGATAAGAGAGCATGCCTGGCCAGAGACTGAAACCGAGCTTGCGTGGTCATATCTCATGAAGTCTAGAAGTTTGATCCTATCCATAGCTTCTCTCAACACTTGGGCTGGTAGCAGTGTTTTCTGAGGATACGTCATTTGAATTAAAGATGACCGTTTTTCCCTTCTTTGGTATGGAGGAAATACTACTTCCCGATGATTTATAGCCAGACTTTTGAGGCACAGAGTGCCTACAGTTTGGGATAAGAACGGAGTTTCCAACCATCCATCTCCTCAGCATTTCTTAATGTTATGTCCATCGTGCATGATCTACAGGTCGGAGCTACAGGGTCTCAGCCTCAGCTCCCAGATCCTCTGAATTTGTTTCCAAGATCTTTGGCACTCAGTTAAGATTTAAAAATTGCACCCCCAGTGATAACTGCCAAAATTTTAGGCATTTATCCTGGCCACACTTACCATCATTGGAAATGTTACAAATGTCTTTGGTGGCCAGAAAAAAATGTTTCTGGATGAAGCGAAGTTTCATGCCATCCCCTCCTGCCTTGAGATTTCCCATGACATTGCCAATTTAGCAGGACAGTTGCCCTAGAGAAGAGAAACATCTGCAGAGGGCTGTTCAGATTGTAGTTAAGTGGAAATCCTTGAAAGAGAGCTTAATTGAGTCCTCATCGATTCAGCCGCCTCCGTATTTGGGTAATTCGTGTTACTTTGGAGCCGTCTGGGTTTCAGCTTTTGAGAGATCCTCAGTTCTGCCTAATAACTGCAGAAGTCTCAGCAGGCGTTTTGATCAGATTCTTCTAGAGAGAGACAATTACAAAACTGTGAGATACAGCATAAACAAAATAGGAAATCACCTCTTTGACTATGTGATCTGTTAAAACAGACTAGGGGGGGCCTCAAACTGCTACATAATCATCACAATATTTGCAGATATGCCTAGATAAAGCTGGCCTCCTTGCTCAGTTGGGAAATAGTGTGAATATCCATAGGGTAAGAAGGAGACCAGGTATTTATCCACCAGCTGAAAAGCAGTCCTAGATGGCTTTATTACTTTTGATAGTCTGGAAAGTTGGATTAAGAATAAAACTAGCATGGCATGCATACCCATGATTTCTGGTTGCAGGGAAAACACGTTCTTATAAATCATTACACAGCACATTGAGGTCAACAGAAAAGCTCCAGTTTACTTTGCAGGAGTATAGGTCAATTAATGTCCATTCACCAACAATGATTAGATTTAGGATTCTCTATCAGCTAATGGTAATGGCTGATTTTCTTATTACCAGTTGGGTTGTGTAAATTAACAGCGGAGAAACTCTTTCAGAAAGCACCCAACAGTGTTCCCCACCACAAAGTTGTGCAGTTCTCTGAAACAGGCATATTTTCTGTATTCCAATTAGTAGATAAGAAGACCAAAAGGAACAAACTTTTAAAGAGGAAAGCCACAGCAAATGCATCTTTATTTTCCGATGTCTTTTTTCATCTGGAATTGCGCAGATTATCACATGCGCACACAGAAACACA